CGCGGGCGGTCGGCGCGCCCGCGGTCGGCCGACAGATCGGCCCGAGCGCCGAGCCATCTTGCATCGGGGCTGGGCGTGGCCCGGGCGACGTCGCAGCCGACGCGGCCTGTTCCGCGCGCCTGCGTTCAGGGCCGTGGTGCTTGCTTTCGTTGCGTGCCCGCGTTCGACGCCGCTCGCTTGTCGCATCTGTCCGCCGTGCGCGGGCGGCTGCCGCCGCCCCCGCCGGCGCCGCCTTCGGGCCGAGCGCCTGCGCCGCCAAGTCCGCCGCGGGCGGGGCGGGAATCGTTGTCTTGTCAGCCGGCGCCCCTAGAGCGGCTGCGCTCGCGGTCTCGCAGCGCGACCTCGGCGCAGGCCCCGCTCGCGTCGCGCGCTCCGCCCCGTTGCATGTCGCATGTCGTTTCGCAGGCAGAAGTCGACCACGCCGCTCGCGCGCCTCGCCAGGGCAGCGCGGACGACGCGGGGGAACTACAGTTCGTCGACGACGCGCGCCTCGCGCGAGTCGTTTTCGAACCCGCCGTCGATGTCAGCGCCGCCGCCAGGGGCGCAATTGAAATGGGTGAGCAGGCGCCGCCCTGCCCAGATTCCCGCCGCGCGCGAGCGCTTCATCTGCTGAATTGAAAATGAGGCGCGGGCGCTGCGCGAGTCGGGCACCGTGGCCCGCTTGCATGCAGAGGCCGATGCAGGCGCACGCGTGGCGGCGACTGGCGCCCGCAGCCCGCCGATGCAAACGCTCGCCGCCAGTGCTTATTTCCAGGGCGCCGCGCGCGTCGAATTCCGCAGCCGCGGCGCGCCAGTTGCGGGCCCGTTTCAGGTCTCGGGCAGGCGCAGCGCCCCGAAGCGCAGCCGGCATCGACCGCGCTAGCGGGCGCTGCTCAAGCCACCTCGCGTTGCTGGCGCCGTTGAAGAGGGCGCTCACTCGGCGAAGTTGCTGCACCAGTCTCTTAGAGAAGCGCGCGTGGGCCACGCAGTGCAGCCGGTCGCGGCTGAACAGGCCGACCTCAGCGCATGCGTCTTGTCGCCGCGCTTCAAAGTTGCGCGAGCGCGGCCCAGTGGCGACGCGCGCGTTCGGGCAGTCGGCGATCTGACCCGCCCGAGGTTGAACGGGCGCACTGCGGCGGGCGACGAGTTCCACCCCGAGCACATCGACGCGCTGCGTCGCGTGGCTAGGGGCGCGGCGCAGGGCACGCGCGAACGCGTCGCCGTCTTCAAAGCCGATGTCGACTCGCCCTTCCGTAGGCTGCGCGCCATGCCGATGCCTCGCCGCTTTCTCTTTTTTGTTTTCCCGCGCAGGGCGTGGCCCATGTGGCAGGGCATCTCGCCGAGCCCTTCGGTGCCGCGGCGGCCGCGCGCGCGCGGGAGTGGGTCGGCGCGCTCATCTCGCACTTATTGCGCTGCCTCCTGTTCATTCCGACGCTGCGTTTTGTTGATGACTTCTTCGGCGCCGAGCGCGCGGCTTGCGCCGGGCGCGCGTTCGGGTGCGTCGTGCGGCTTGCGCGCTGCGTCCTCGGGCCTTTTGCGATGTCGGTGGACGAAGTCGCCGCGGGCTTGTCGATGGTCGTCCTGGGCCTTCAGGTCCGCGCAGACCACGGCGGCATCTCACGCGCCCCGTCGCTGACCAGATCGACGAGTGGCGCCAATTTGGCTTCGCGCCCTGTTTGGGAGCACTGCGGCCGGGAAGCGCGGCAAAACTGGCGGGCGCCCCGACGTGGGCGTGCTCGGGCATGTTCCATCGCATAGGGCGCACGCTCATCCGGCCTGTGTTCGCCCGCCCGAAGCAGCGTGGCATGGTGTTGTCGCAGCAGCTGCGCGTCGCGATTGAGTGGCGGGCAGAGGTCCTTGCGCTGGGGCCCTACGAGGCCCGTGCCTGGGCGCCGGGCCAGAACGAGGCCGCGCAGCCATTCGTCGGCGCGCGCAGCGCGCCGCCCCGAGCAGCGGCCGCGCCGCTCTGTCTCGACAGGCGGTCTTCTCATTCAGATTGGGGCCCGCCCGAGCGCGTCCTGCGCCATGTCAAGAAGATGGGCGATGCGCAAATTATGCCCCGTCGAGCTGCTTGCGAGTGCGTTTGGCCTTTGCATCTTCAGCGGCGCGCTCAGGGGCAGGCGCGCGCGCCCCTGGTCCGGCAACGTTAGGGCCGAGGCAGCTGCGCGGAAGGGCTCTTCGGAATGGGACTATATGTGTCCCTTCACTTCGCCGTGGCTGCAGGCGGCGCAACTGCGCGTTTTGTTCCGCGTCGGCCGCGTGCCTTCTAGGCTTAACGTGGCCGGTTTGCCGTCGCTTCGCGAGGTGGGCGCCCCTTTCGTTCAGCCACGTCCTAGTGATTCGTTCTGGGGGCCAGCTGACTGGGCGTCTTCATCTGCGGCGCGCGCGCCGCCTGCGCCGCGCGCGAGCAGCTGTCGGCCGACAGATCGGCTCGCGCGCCGAAGCTGCATCGGGGCGGGGCAGAGCCCGGGCGCGTGCGCCGTTGCCACGTGCGTCTGTTCCGCGTCGCGGCCGCGCGGGTCTTGGCGTTGCAGTGGGCGCGCCAGTGCGCTCGCCGCGCCGCGCGGTGCCCAGTTCGCGCGGTCGGCGCGTCGTTCGCGGATCTGCCCGTAGGCGCCAGGCCGTTCAAGGGCGTTGGCGCTGCATGTTCGCCGAGCACGCTGCGCCCTTTCATCGGCCGGCTCGGCGCCAAAGACGCGGCGCTTCATCGCGCTCGTGACCTGCGGCGCGGTCGCGCATTGGACCTTCCGGTCCTTCGAGCGGTCGAGTGGCCCTCGCCCGCGCTCCTGTCGCGCCTCGATGTTTCGCAATTAGAGCTCGGCGCCGTGGTCGAGGCGCGCCTGGCCGAGTGAGGGCGACCTGGGCTAGGTGCTGGCGACCCAGGCGTCGCGCGCTGCCCTCGCCCGTTTCTTCCCCGCCATTGCGCGCTGCGTCGCCGCAGCGCCGCCGCGCGCGTGGGGGGCGTCGCGCCCCTTGCCAAGGGGGCGCGGGCGCCGCCGGGCGCGGGGGGCTGCCGGCGCGGCTGATATTTTGCGGTGGGGGCACAGCGCCATCGACAGCGCGCGCGCATGCTTGAGCTGCGTTGCGCGCGGGCAAAAATTTCGCGCTCGCGCCTGGCCCGCGCGCGGGCGGGCGAGCTGCGCGCGCGGGCCGCCTCCCGCCATCCTGCGCCTCGCGGCGCGGGGCCCCGCGCGAAGGGTTCGTGCGCGCGAAGGGGGGGGGGGTCGGGCGGCGTGCGCGTCGCCGCGCGCAGCCCCGCAAGAAGGGCCCGCGCGCGTTCGGGGTGACGGCGCGCGCGCGCTTTCGCCGCTTGCACTTCCGTTTGCTTCGCCGTGCGCGCCCCGTGCTGGCGCGTCGCGGGGGCCCCGTCGGGGCGGTTCGCGGCGCGCCTCGGGGTCGCGCGGGTTGCAGGCTTTGGCGCTTGCGTCCTGCAGGCATCGGCGCTTGCGTCCTGCCAGCGCGGACGGCGCGCGCGCTTTCGCCCCGTCCGCCCGCTTCTGGGATGCTTGCGCCCCTGGCGCCCAGCGTGTCGGCTGACACTGGCGCCGCGATGCTTGGCCGCGCCAGTTGTCACGAGGGCGCGGGCGCCGGGACGCTGCGGGCGCAGCTGCCATGTGTGATGCGCTGCTTTCGGGGCACTTCTCGTCGCCAGGGCTGGGCGCGGCTCGATCCTGCCTGGTGATGTGGGCTGGTGCTCTGCCGACGAAGGGTGCGTCACGGGCGCGCCTAGATTGTGGAGATGTCTCCAACGTCCCGTTTGTGTTACGGGGTGGAGGCGCGTCGGAGCCGCATGGTTTTCGGTGGCCAGCTCGGTTGGCTTTTATGGCTGTTTGTGCCCCATCCAGGGCTTGCCTTGGCTGGCGCGGGGGGGCGGTGCACCTGGGTCCGGTGCCCGGGTCGCCGGGAACAGCTCCCGGCGGCGACCCCGGTAATCCCGCCAGCGGTGCCAGGGAGGCGCCATGGAAAGGTTGCCTTCAAAAACACAGAGAACCATCATCCGAACCTCGGGTTCCGAGATGCCCTGAGTTGATGCTTTTTGGTTCGTTTCGCTTGAGACTTCCTCACAGTTCTGGATTCCAAGATGTGGTCCGCGAGGTACTCAGACCCGTTTCGCTTGAGACATCCTCTGGACCCCTGGCTTCGAGATGCCCCGAATTGAGGTGCTCTCGCTCGTTTCGCTAGAAAGTTTCTCACAACTCTGGGCTCCAACATGTCATTCGCGATGTACTCAGGCATGTTTGGCCTGAGACATCCTCGGCATCCCCGGCTCTGACCGTTTGGCCTGAGACATTTTCACAACTCTGGTAAAAGATGCGATTCACGGAGCGCTCAGGCATGTTTCGTCTGAGACATCCTCGACACCCCAGTTCCAAGGTGCTTTGACTTGAGGTTTTCTGGCCCGCTGGGCTTGGGACATCCTCGCCGCTCACACCTCTGGGTTCCAAGCGGCTGGCGAGGTGCTCTGGCCCGTTTCGCCCGAGACATCTTTTCCAAGATTTGGCTCTGAGGTACTCAGGCCCGTTTCGCTTGAGACATCCTCCGAACTCCAGGCTGCGGCGAGATGCCGTGAGTTGAGGTGCTCTGGCCGGTTTCATTTGATACGTTCTAACAGCTCTGGGTTCCTAGACGTTGCCCGCGATGTGCTCAGGCCCGTTTCACCTGAGACATCCTCGGGATCCCTGGCTACGAGATGCCCTGACGTGAGGTGACCCGGGTGTAAGCACGCCGCGCTTGAAGGCGACATTGACGGAGTTATTGCTGAGGTTGCCCCCAGTGCCAGGGGAAGTTGCGGGCCAATGGAAAGTGACATAACACACGAGGCATCGCCATATATATATATGTGTATATATATGTATATATATATATATATATATATATATATATATGCATGTACACGTAAACATAGGGAGACGGAAAAAGGGAGAAAGACAGACAAAGACAGAAAGAGAGAGAGAGAGAGAGACAGACAAGTAAGTCAACAAACTTTGGGGAGAGAGAAAGAGAGCTCCCCGCCCCCCGAGGTGTGGTGGGGCGAGGACTGACCGAGGCACCGCGCGCCCGTTGGGCCGGCGGCGCAGCTCCCGGAGGGGCGATCCTCGGGCGCGCTCCTCTCTGCTCCATCTCCTCGCTCCTCCTCCCTGCTCCTGCTCCTCCTACCTCCTCCTCCTCCTCCTCCTCCTCCTCCTCCTCCTCCCCCTCCCCCTCCTCCTCCTCGCTCCTCCTCCTCCTCCTCCTCCTCCTCCTCCTTCTCCCCCCCAGTCGACCCTCTCCCTCCCCTCCCCTTCCTCGGCCTTCCCTTCCCCTTCCCCCCCACACTGAGCCTCGCGCGCGCCTCGCTGGGGGGCCGCTGCGCGCAGGGCCCCCCCCCTCCGCGCGCGGGCCGGAGACGACCGAGAGCGCCACGCCGCTCCCCCTGGCTGCGTGCCGCTCCCGCCAGAGCCAAGAGCACGCCCGCCTTCGCCCGCGTACCGCCGCCGTCGCGAGGGGCAAGGCTGGCGGCCAATGAGGAGGAGGGGTGGGAGATCTACACCATCAGCATCATAACCACCATCACCACCACCACCATCACCACCACCACCACCACCACCACCACCACCACCACCATCTCCATCACCACCATCATCATCGTCATCATCATCACCACCACCAGAATCGTCACCACCACCATCACATCACCAACACCACTGTAATCATATTCACCACTAGTTAGAATCAGCAACGGCATCAGCGTCATCATCATCATCATCATCATCATCATCATCATCATCATCATCATCATCATCATCATCATCATTATTATCATCATCATCATCATCATCATCATCATCATCATCATCATCATCATCATCATCATCATCATACCACCATCATCACCACCACCATCATCACCATCGTCAGCATTATCATCATCACCACATCCCTCTTTGACCTTTTCCTCGATCCGCATCCTTTTTCCCCTCGATTCGCCTCATCGATCCCCGAGGTTCTGGTCGAGGATCGAGGTGTCTGCTGTTTGAGGTTTTGTTTGGGCCTTGAGGGAGGGGGATGGGGATGCATCTAATTCCGTATTCCAGCAACCCCAATCAGGACCGTTGCCCAGGGGAGGCGTTGGGAAGAGGGAAGTAGACAAGCATACGCTTGGTGGGACAAGAATGCGAACATGTGCCTTTCGAGTCATGGGGGGAGCGACTTCGAGATAGATTGAAGTCATCTTGGAGCTCTTGTTCGGGCTCTCTTGGGGCCATCGTGGAGGCATTCGACGAAAATACAGGGTGCTCAATCAGCGCTGCCCTTCTTGAGATCGAGAAGTATTCTCTTCGACCCCTCTCGGGACGCTTTTGGGGCGCCCTTCGGGACGTTAAGTGGCGCATTGGAGCCTCTGGGCCTTGCCGGGGCTCTTCGGGGCGACCTGGCTGCTGGGAGCCCACTCGGAACCAAAAAGCGTGCAGGCGAGCATCGCATTTGTGGGCATGATGTCGGCTTCTCGGGTGCCCCGTGGGGGATTCCGTGGCCACCTCGAGCTGTCTTAGGGGCCTCTTGGAGGCACGCCGGAGGCAGCATTGAGCCACTGGTGAGCCATCGTTTGCCATATGTTGGAAGGCACCTTGGGCTAATTAGACGAGCCTGGAGCCTTCTGGGAGGCCCTGAGCCTTCGCGAAGCCCTGGCCCAGACTCCACGGGAGGCGCGCGGCAGAGCTTCTCTGGAGCGGGAGAAGAGGGCTGGAAGAGCTGGAGGAGGAGGAGGAGGAGGAGGAGGAGGAGGAGGAGGAGAGATTGCAGGATTTGGGTGTCTGGAGAGAGGATCCTGTAGGCCATTTGCGCCCAGAGGGCTGGCGGGAGCTGACGGAACACACGCTTTTTCCCTTCCGTCTCTCCCCTGTCATCTTGCCTCCTCGTCCGCCACTGACGGAACGCGTTCCCACTTAATTTAATCATCTCTGATGGTGGAGGACCGAGGTTTCGCGGCCACTTGCATGCCACATTGGGTTGTGTTGTGCCAACTTGAGAGGGATATTGAGCATATGAGGCAGCCTCTGAGATATCTTGGAAGCTCCAACGTTTCGCGGCACTCTGGTCCAGGACCCGAGTGTGGGGGGGAGGCCAAGTCCCTCCCAGAGAGAGAAGGTGGGTTGGTGGATTCGTTCGCTCTGAACATCGCTCCGAGTGTGCGCGCGTGTGTGCTTGCTTGTGTGCGTGAACAGGTGAAGAAACAACAGTAACAATTGGTTGGCTGCACGTGTATGTGGATCGCGAGCAAGTATCACGAGATCTGCGCCCAGAGGGTAGGTGAGAAGCATTCGCAATCCATTCACCTGGGTGTGTCCACTCCAGAAGATTCACCAGCAGGGTCTGGTTTTTTGCTGGATGTTGATACGTAGCGGTGATCCCCCATGTTCGCTCAAGAGACTTCAGAGTAGGGCGTCCAAGGTTCTCACATCCTCACCGCGCATCCCTATGACCCTGTCGCGCTGAACCATTGTTTTCCCGATGCGGTCGAACCGAGGTATAAGATCGAGGTCGATTCGGGGAAGGTGCCCTAATGTTCTTCGTGCTTGTTTGATGCTCTTGTGCATCCTGCGGGAGGGTGCCCTCGAGTGATCTTCTGGTTCGGGGTGTTTTGGCTGGCCGAAGGTCTCATGTTCTTGAAGGATGTTCTTCTGTCCTAGGTCCGGCCGTAGTTAGTGCCAGCAGAAATTTCGGGCCGAGCGGAAGGGGGAGGGAAAGGGGGGGGGGTACGAGATCTGCTGCATGCAGCTGATTTCCGCTCCGCCCCCGGGCCCACTCCTCCACACATGGCCGCCTCCTGGCGCTGGGAGGCGCCGGGAACATCAGCTACGTGAGCTGATTATCTACCCTTCTCCTCCTCCTCCTCCTTCTCCTCCTCCTCCTCCTCCTCCTCCTCTTCCTCCTCCCTCCTCCCCCTCCTTCTCCCCCTCCTCCTCCCCCTCCTCCTCATCCTCCCTCTCCTCCTCCCCCTCCCAGTCCTCCTCCTCCTCCTCCTCCTCCTCCTTCCCCCTCCTCCCCCCTCCTCCTCCTCCTTTCTCCTCCTCCTCTCCTCCTCCTCCTCCTCCTCCTCCTCCTCCTCCTCCCTCTACCCTTTGCTATCCACCCCTTCTAGTCTGGCCCGAAAGCTGTGCTGGGACCAGCTCAGGGTGTGCCGGGGTTTCCGCGGGCAGAGGTCCCCCCTGCCCGCCGTTTTTGTTTGTCCCCTCCCCCCGACCGACTTCTGCGGCCCGACCGGCGCGCCTCCCTGCCTTTTGCAGGGGGTCGACCCGAGCGGTGTTCCGGCGGCGTCGTGGGCCGTTGCCGTTTCGGTGTCGTTTTGCAGCAAAACAGGCGGATCGAAGACAGAGCGAGGGACAATGAGCGCAAAACGCACACGAACACAAGCACACACACACACCCACCCACCCACCCACACACGCACACACACACAAACACGCACACACCCACACACCCACACATACACACGCACACACAAACACGCACACACACGCACTCATACATACACCCACACACACGTACGCGCACACGCGCACACACACAAACGCGCATCCGCACACACACATGCACAACACACAACACACAACACGCATCACACAACACACACACACACCTCACAACACAACACACATCACACAACACACAACACACACACACCACACAGCACACAACACACAACACACAACACACAACACACAACACACAACACACACCACACACACACAACACACAACACACAACACACGCAACACACAACACACAATTCGCACAGCACGCACACACACACACACTGTTTAGGTCGATCCCTGGTCTCGTGCTGTGAGTTTCTCCTCGTCTGTCCTGGAGGGGCCGAGGGGAAGAGCGAGGAGTAGGCAGGGAGCGGGAGGGAGCTGGGCGGAGGAGGGGTGAGGACCTAGGATGGAAGGAGCTTGATGCAGGGGGCCTCCTCCTCCTCCTCCTGCTCCTCCTCCTCCTCCTCCTTCTCCTCCTCCTCCTCCTCCTCCTCCTCCTCCTCCTCCTCCTCCTCCTCCTCCTCCTCCTCCTCCTCCTCCTCCTCTCGCTGCTGGCTCACAAGAAAAGTGCGCGAGATTTTGGGCGTCTCTCCGCAGGGCATCACCTGCCAAGTCGCTGGTGGGCCCACGTTGTGCGTGGTCCATGCAGCATGGCAACGTGGATGTGCAAGGATTATTTTCTACAGAGGGGAGGAACACACATTGACAGAAGGAGGGAGAGGAGAAAGAGGAGGAGGAGGAGGAGGGGAGGAAAGGGATGAGGATGGCGTGGAGGACGGATGAGAGGGGAATGGGGGGAGGGACATGGGAGACGGGAGGATGGCTAGGAGCAGGATTCAGAGGAGGCGGAGGAGAAGGAGGAGGACGAGAGGAGTCGGTAAAACCGAAGACTCATTGACGACATTGCAGTACACTTTCCCTAAGTTCTTCTCACCGGCCCTTACAAGGATTAAGTTTCCACTGAGGGAAGTGCCCCGTTGGAAGCAAACCGTTTCGAAAAATTTGAATCGTGCCAGAACGCCATTCCTGGGACTGCAGCGCCGCAAATAACCGTTACGTTTGCGTCTTGACGATGCTACCGGAACGCCACTTCTGGGATTTCAACACCACGAATAAGCGTAACTGTTGCGCCCTGACAGTGCGACACCGGGTCAAAACAACTTGTTTGGTACGTTAACCATGAGAGATCTTGACACGCCGTAAACATTAAAACTAATGTGCGCGGCGCTAAGTCAAGGGTCACATTTTGAAGTCCGTGATCTTGGTGCAGATTGTCCAGGCGAGTGTGTGCATCGCGGGGGCGACAACCAAACTTTTGAAAATTTGCCCGCCCTCCATCCGTGAAGTTACTGCCAACTTTTAAGACGAATGTGCGCGGCGCCACAGCGAGAGCTACATGTTGAAACTGTCCCGCCCTCCATCCGTGAAGCTCTTGTACATTTCTAGCTGGAGGATCCTAAGTGTTGAGCAAGTCTCTGGCGGAGCGCCTGGCCCGCCCTTTCGACCGTCCTCGGGTTGCGACAGGGAGGAGGTATTTACAAGGAAACAGTAATGATTGTAGGAGGAGGAGGAGGAAGAGGAGGAAGAGGAAGGAAGGAAGGAGTGTGGAGGAGCACGGAAGAGGATGACGAGGCGCGGAGGGGGATGGAGGATGGAGGGAGGCCCGACTGGGGAAGGGGAGGCTTGATCATGTGAGGGAGGGCGCGCGCCTGGCACCCGCTCCCCCCCCCCCCTGGCCCTCCTCCCCCCCGCGTCCTCTCCTCTCTCCCGCTGGGCCCCCGCCCTGCGCCGGGGAAGGAGGAGGAGGAGGAGGAGGGGGAGGAGGAGGAGGAGAAGGAGGAGGAGGAGGAGATGGAGATGGAGGAGGAGGAGGAGGAGGAGGAGAGAGGAGGAGGAGGAGGCGAAGGAGGAGGAGGAGGAGAGGAGGAG